ACTTGTCACCGTAGATTAGCGTGGCCTGTCTGTGAACTTGACACAAATGGATTTATACAGTGTGTCCTCTTTACGCCTGCTTCTTTCACTTAATGTCAGCAAGATCCACCTGTGGGGTGCATGTGGCACTGGTTTGTTCTTTTTCCTTGCTGCGTAGTATTCCACTATGTGAATATGTCACTGTTTGTTTATTCACAGACCTGTTGGTGGACCCTTAGATGTTTCCGGTGTAGGGCTGTTATGACCATTTCTGTTCACATCTTTGGTGAAACCACGTCTTCCTTTCCTTTGGATAAAGACCTGTAGTAGGTTGAGTGGTGTCCCCACCCTCTTCATTTTTTGCCCACCTAAAACCTCAGCATGTGACCTTGTTTGGAAATAGGCTCTTTGGCCCTAGCTGGTTTGGCTCAGTGCGTAGAGTGTCGGCCTGTGGACTGAATGGTCCCAGGTTTGATGCTGGTCAAGGGCACATGCCTGGGTTGCAGGTTCCATCTCCAGTAGCTGGTATGCAGGAAGCAGCTGATCAATGATTCTCTCATCATTGATGTTTCTATCTCTCTCCCTTCTTCCTTCCTCTCTGAAATCAATAATTTTTTTTTTTTTTTAAGAAATAGGGTCTTTGCAGTTCCTTTCACTTGTCTTTGGGCACATACCTTGGAGTGAAATGTCTGGGTCACAGGGTAGCTCCATAAGGATCTTTTGGAGGAACTGTCATCCATTTCCTTTTCCTGCTTATCATCTGACCTCCCTGGAATGTCAACTTCCCAGGGGGCAGGGACTTTGTTTTCTTCCTGGTTCAGAGCCCTGGACAGCACCTGGCACATTATGTAAATACATAGCGCAGGAACGAATCATTGTGACTCTTGACTCTTAGATTCTCTGGATCTCAGTTTCCACACCTCTGAAACGGGAATGAACTTAATCCTCCCCTCAGGAAGAATGAGTCTCCGTTCCTCCAAAAAGGCTCTGAGCCAGATACTCAAATGTCCACAGCATGTGCACCGTGGGCCACTAATTGGCCCTGAGAAAAGAATGACCAGTTCTGCATTCCTTCCCGGGTGGTGAAGAAGGTCAAATGCAGAGGGCGAAGGGTTCCTGCAGTCACACAGCAAGGGCTTCGGGCTCTGGGCCCTTAGGGAGTGGACTGTATGGGAGGCTGCATCAGAGGCCGCTGTTGAGGACCCCACCTCAGTTGGGGTGTTGGGGGAAGATGACAGTCCACAGCCAGATAGAGTCAGGATTACTGCCTGGAGATGAGCCAAACCCGGGAGGATGTCATGCGAGGAGGGCAAAGCAGGTTCCAGTGATTTTTACCAGAGAGAGTGGGCTTTCAGGGAGAAGAGGCGTCTCAGCAGCCCCCACCACTACACTATTCATAACGTAATGGCTGATATGGACCAAGTGCTGCAAGAGGACCTTTAGGGCTTCCAGAGTCTCTTCCTCTGAACCAGGGGTCCTGGTAGCTCCCCAGGCCCAAGGCCACATGTATCTGGCAGAGGCCAGCCTCAAACCAGATCCACATTCTTGAATGCTGACTCACACCCTCCCAGCCTCAGTTTCCTCATCTGTAAAATTGACATATACCCCCAGAGAATTGAAATTGTGTGTTTAAACAAATACATGTGCACACATGTTCACAGCACACTATTCACAGTAGCCATTCCACGCCGTCTGGGGCCGATCCAAGTGTCCATCAATGGGTGAATGAATAAACAAAATGGAATATTAGTTATGAAAAGGAATGAAGCACTGACACATGCTACAACGTGAATGAACTTCATAAATATTATGCTGAATAAAATAAACCAGAATTGGTAAGCCCATAGGGACAGAAAATGGATTACTAGTTACTAGGGATGGGGGGGAGTAGAAATGGAGAGTGAGTGCTACTGGGGACAGGACCTCCTTTGGGGATGATAGAAGTGTTTTAGAACTAGATAGATGTGATGGTTGCATGACATCACGAATGCAATAAATGCCATTGAATTGTATACTTTACAATGGTAAATTTTATGATATGAGAATTATATCTCAATTTTAAAAAGGAAAACTAAAATACAGACTTCGTTAGATAGAAAAGTCAAGTAGTGCTGGGGGGGTGGAGAGTGGGTATGGGGGAGAAGGGAAGTGCCGTCAGCTGGCATGGACTCAGGGCTACTCACTGACCTGCTCTGAGCACAGTATGTTGTTTATTTCATCCTGGTCTCTGTGCTCTGCCCTTCAGGGTCATTTTAAATATGGGAAAACTGTCCTGGATGGTGTGGCTCAGTGGATGAATGTCGACCCATGAACCAGGATGTCAGGGTTCAATTTCATACCTGTGTTTCGGGCTCAGTCCTCAATAGGGGTCATGCAGGAGGCAGCAGATTGATGATTCTCTCTCATCATTAATGTTTCTCTCTCTCCCTCTCTCTGAAATCAACAAAATTTTTTTTTAAAGTTAAAAAAAAATAGCTAGAGCAACCTGTCGAAGCCTCATGGCTCCTAAGAAGTGGATGCAGAACTGAGGGTGATAATAGTGAGTATTCATCAGATGTTGATCTGTCTAATTTATTTATTTATTATTTTTTGCTGTTTGGTTAATCATCACCCGAGGGTATAAGGTCCATTGATTTCCAGAGAGAGTGGAAGGGAGTGAGGGTGTGTGTGTGTGTGTGTGTGTGAGAGAGAGAGAGAGAGAGACATCAATTGATTGGTTGCCTCCTGCACAAGCCCAGATTGACTGGGGTAGATATGAACCTGCAACCTAGGTATATGCCCTTGACTTGGAATTGGACCTGTGACCCTATGCTCTAACCACTGAGTCATTGAGTAACACCAGCCAGGATGACCTGTCTAGTTTATAAAGAAGCAAAACTAAGCACTGGGCATTTACAGCTCTCTCGAAGGCCACTCGGTGGTGAAGGGCAGATAGGTGGAGGAGGCTCCAGCATGAGGTTGTAGGAAACAAGGCATCTCCTACCCGCCAAACCTCAGTTTCCTCCTCTGTAACACCTAAGGATTACTAGAAGGCTTCTGAGCTCTGACCTGGGGCCGTGAGTCCCACAGCTGATCCAGAGCAGGGGCGCAGATGGCAAGGCCCCTGCCTCTGAGCGAGCCGTGTCAGCTGCGGGCCAGATGGTGGCTAGGCCTCAGGATGCTGTCTGCTGTGTCCCCGCTTGTGGGGTCTGCCAGATCACAGGTCATCATTATTGGACGAGGCTGTGCAGTAACCTTTGGTGCCCCTCCAGGTTCCCTACCTGCATCTCAGGTGTGGCAGGCAGTCGTGCTAGGCCAAGAACCTTGGCCTCCTCTGCCTCACCCCACATCCCATCTGTTGCATCTCCTATTGGCACCACCTGCAAAGTACCTCCTGGCTAGGACCACCTTCCAGCCCTTCTCTGCCATTACCCTGGGACAAGTCCTATAACTTGTCCTAGAACACTCCTAAGTATTGTCCCTTATTCAAGATGTTGCCCCCTACTGTCATGTTGGTTACATCCCCTCTGCTGACAAGCTCCTCTCCTCATTTTATGTAGGAAAATGCCTCCATAGTGATCCACAAGCTCTCCATGACCTACTGCACCCCTCTCCTTCACTTTTCCCTGCCAGGCAACACTCCAGGTACACCCTTGCCTCAGGTTCTTTGTACTGGCTGTCCTGTGATGTGCACTCCTGGAGTACCTAGTGTGACCACAGCACGGTGCGTCTGCAGCATGCCCTGCATGTGCACACAGCCAGGGGCCCAGTGATCTTGGGCTGTCTGTCTGACATGTGGGTTGAATCTGGATGTTTATGAAGTGTGTGTGCATATGGATGCCATTGACTGCAGCCGTATGTTTGGCGGGTGTGTGAGCTGTAGGTCTCAGCTGAGCAGGGTTTGATGCCTGCATGTGGTTCATCTGGAACAAAGGCTTGAGTGGCCGCCGACCACAGTCAGGAGAGCGTGTGTGTGTGTGTGTGTGTGTGCGCGTGTGTGTGCAGAGATTGCTGGGAATGCACATTGCTCATGCACGCATTCAACATTGAGCGCTTATTGTGTGCTGGAGAGGTCAGCAGGGCCCTTTCGCACCTGGTATCTGTCAACTTGAAGTGTCAATTCCTGAGCATTTTACACAAACGATCAATTGAACACCTATTATATACTTGACCCTCTGCTGGATATGGATTAGTTGGGCCTGGTTCTACCTACAGTAGGTTCTATCTACTCAAGAGGCCCCTTGCTCTCTCCTCTGGAGTCTCCAGTCCATGTCCACCCTCTTCTCTGAGCACTGACTGCAGGGAGGGCTCTAAACCCCATCTGGACCCCTGGGTCTTGCTCGCTGCACAAAAGATGGTTTTCGGACTCAGAGAGTGAAAGAATAAATGGGCTCAAGGCTGGAGAGAACATCCTGGGAGTCTGAACCTTGCCAGGGCGGAGTTTCTAGACTTTCCAAGGGGTGGGAGTAGAGGTGCCCTCATTAGCTTTGGGAGCTTTACGGAGGAGGCCCTATTGGCTCAAACATGGGCTGGAAGTTCGACACCTGGGCACAGGGTGAGAGTTCCCGTGATGGAGGGAGGTCTTGGAGAGGGAGTGACTCTGGAGGGGATGGGTGGTTCTCAGAGCGCGGGGTCCAATTTCCCAAGCCCCACCTCCCATTAGGCTCCATCCCTTGCCCTTTCCGTAGCAGACCCTGTCCCAGACCTGCTGCACCTCACTGTCCGCACAGTCCCCCTCCACCCGCTTCTCTCTGGTCCCACCCTCGCCGATCGCCACGCCTTTACCCCACCACCCCCCCTGCAATCGTCTTTTAAGCTCCGACCCATCCCAGACCAGGCCCCGCCCCTCTGTGGACTGAGTCTTGCCCCTCGCCCCCAGACCACGCCCCTCGCCACAGGCCCCGCCTCTCCTCTACTCAGGAGCGCAAGCCTTCTGCCCTCGCCCCGCCCACATTCAGACCACGCCCCCTGGAGACCACGCCCCCTCCGACACGCCCGGCCCCTTTCATCGCTCAGGTCCTGCCCTTGCGGAGCATGCCCCGCCCCCCGATCCCCAAGTCGCAGTTTTCTGGACAGGCGCGCGGCCCCCCGTCACTCGAACGCGCGGGGGTAAGATGGCGGAGTCCGGTGGCGGCGGCGGCGGCGGCAGCGGTGGCGTTGGCTTCGGTGCAGGCCCGGGCCCGGAGCGCCCAAGCAGGTGAGACCGGACCCGCAGTGGGCCTGCAGCTGCCCCCGGGCTCAGGTGATCTGCGGGGAGCCCTGGGGCTTGGAAGTGTACTGGGCGGCCCGAGGGTCTCTCCGGGGGACCGCAGGCTTTAGGGGCTGCTGAGGGACACCTGAAGGAGGGCTGGGAGCCCCAGGACCTCGAGGGTCTCCATGTGGCTCTGGGAGCCAGAGGGGGCGTTGGGGGGCTTGGAGGTGTGAAGGGAAACCTCGGGGCTCCTGACTGGGAACTTGGAACGCCAAGGGGTTTGGGAGGCAGAGAGGGCCTGAGAAGGGGCGGGGGGCAGTCCCGAGGTTGTCGGTGCTGTTTTCGGGACGCTGCGGAGGGGACTGAAGGGGGGTTGCAGGGACTGAGGCCCAAGCTTTTCTAGGGGTGCTAGGGGCCCCCGAGTGTTGTAAAGGTGGCCGCGAGGGCGTGCTGAGGGACCTGGGGTGGGTGAGGGCTGTGGAGGGCTGGGATTAGGGGCTCAAGAGAACCTGAGGACCTGCAAGAGGCCTAAGAGGCCTGGAAGAACCTGGCTGGGGAGACTGTGGGGCCCTGGGGGGGTCCCAGTGAGTCTTGATGGGCAGGGACGGGGATAGGGGTCTTGAGGGGCCAGAGTAGGTCTTGGGGAGCCTGAGGATGGTGAGAGATTCCTGAAGGTCTAAAGAAAACACGGAAGATCTATCCTTTCCCAACCCATGGGGTTTAAATACCTCCCCCGCACACCCTTCCTAAAGGACTTGGAGCTAGGTCTCGCCTTCAGACTAAGGGGGCAGAATTCACCCCTTTTGGTAAGAGGGAAGTCCCCTTTCCTTTTGGCTAAGTCCCGAGACTGGTTGCTTGAACCCAGAATCGGTGTAAAACTTGATGTTTACAGGTGGTGTTCTGGGTTTTCAGAGGGAAGAACACCAGCCTTAGGGAGCACAACCTCCCCTCCTCTTGACATTGCACAGGGCCACACTGGCCCAGCCCAGCCCAGCCCAGCCCCCTCCCCTCTGACAGCCTGTCACCCTTGGCTGACCGGGTACAAAATTTGGGCTCTTGCTCACTGGAGAGGTTATGGGAGCAAATCATTTCAGTCAACGTGATGAATGATGAAGCTGGTCAGTACTTGTGCGCTGTGGTGTCATTTCTCCTTGTGGGGACCTGGGGTGGTGCTGCCAGGAAGGCCTACGGCCCAGATGCTCGAGTTGGGCTTTGGAGGCCTCCAGCAGGGAGCAAGAGAGATTCAGAGGGTTTGGAAAGACATTCAGCAGGGAACGTGGGCAGGGTGTGGTGAGCAGGCACGAGGTGGCATGTGAGGAACAGATAAGAGGGGACAGTGGACCCAGGTCCTTGCCTTAGGCCCTGGGGTGGGATCATCTGGGTGAGGTATAATTTATTGCATGTGATACTGTTCACTCATTTTAGCTGAGCAGTTCATTGACTTTCAATAAATTTATAAGGGGGAATAAATGGTGATGGAAGGAGACTTGACTGGGGGTGATGAACACACAATACAATATACAGATGGTGTATTATAGAATTGTACATCGGCAACCTATATAATTTTACTAGCCAATGTTACCCCAATAAATTCAATAAAAATAAATTTATGAGAATGCATCCATTAACACAATCCAGTTTTTCATAACGCTTTCATCACGACTCAGAGTTCCGTCCAAGCCCGTTGCAGTGAAACCCGCTCCCACCCTCGGCCCAAGGCACACCCTGATCCGGTTTTTTTTTTCTCTGTAATTTTGCCTTTTTAGAAAATTTACAAGAACAGGATAATATAATTGGTGGCTTCTTGTGACTGGTTTCTTTCTCTTAAAATGTTTTTGAAGTTCATCTAAGTTGTTACAGTATCAGAAATTTGTTTTTTTTCACTACAGCATAGTGTTCCATTGTATGGATGGACACAGTTTGCTTATCCATTTACTGGTTGTTTTCATTTTGTAAAGTTGCTGTGAAGATTTGGTTATGTATATTTTTAATATATATATATATATATATATATTTTTTATTGACTTCAGAGGGGAAGGGAGAAGGAGAGGGAGGTGGAAACATCAATGATGAGAGAGAATCATGGATTGGCTGCCTCCTGCACGCTCCCCACTGGGGATTAAGCCGAAACTTGGGCATGTGCCCTGATGGGGAATTGAACCGTGACTTCTTTTTTTTCCCCCCAATGCATCAGACAAAAACTGGCAAATAGTTTAGTTAGATCAACAGGGTCGATCTGATGGGGAATTGAACCGTGATTTCTTGGTTCATAGGTCAATGCTCAGCCACTGAGCCATTCCAGGTGGGTTGATTATGTATCTTTGTGAGACATATACTCCATCCTCTTGGGTGTATAATTTGGAGTGAAATGACTGGATCCTCTATGGTAGGGAAGCTGCACCATTTTGCATTCCTATCAGCAATACATGAGAGTTTCAGCTGCTCCCCATCCACACCAGCACTGATGTGGCCAGTCTTTAATTTTAGCAATTCTAAGCGTATTATGGTATCTTATTTTGGGTTTAATTTGCATGTCCCTAATAACTAATGATGTTGGGCATTTTTTCATGATTTCATTGGCTATTCATATTTTTGGTCAAGTGTCTTCAAATTTTTTGTCCATTTTTCAGTTGAGTTGTCTTCTTACTGATCTAAATTTTTATTTATTGATTGATTTTGGAGAGAGAGAGAGAGAGAGAGAGATCAGCATTGATTTATTGTCCCACTTATTTTTGCATTCATTGGTTGACTCCTATTTGTGCCCTGACCAGGGATTGAACCCTCAACCTTCGAGTATCGGGATGATGCTCCAACCAGCTGAGCTACCTAGCCAGGGCTCTTACTGACTTTTTTTTTAGAGTACATTTTAATTAATTAATTAATTTTAACATTTATTGTTGAAAGTATTATATATGTCCCCTTTTTCCTCCCATTGACCCCCTCCCACCCCCACCCCAGGCCCTTACCACCCCACTATCTGCGCCCATGTGTTATGCATACTAGCATATGCATACAAGGT